AAATTGTTGAATATAGAGCCAGCTGCCTACTTGATGTATTTTGGGTGTCTTAAAATTGACTCAATTGCAACATTGTTTAAAACCGAGCTTGTGAATTTTCTTATATTTGACCCCTTTCCTGGTTCCTAAGTAGGCAAAGGGTTCCACCATTCATCCAGTTACATAAACTAAAAATTATTCTTCTCCCATCCTCACCTTCCTTGTCTAATCCATCACCAAGTCCTGTTGACTTCGCTTTGTGCTTCTTGAATTTTCCCACTTCTTTGCATTCTCTGCCAATGTCTGGTCTCTCCTAGTGTTAGCTAGTCCAGGGCTAATCAGGAGAAAGAAACTATAATAATTCGATCAGGGGGAAATATAAGTTCAAGAATTATTAACTATAGGCCTGGCTGGTGTGGCTCAGTGGATTGGGTGTGGGATGTGAGCTGTGGGGGTGGGGGTCACTGGTTCGGTTCCTGGTCAGGGTGGGGGGCATGCCTGGGTTTCAGGCCGAGTCCTTAGTGGGGGCCACGTGGGAGGCGACCGCACATTGTTGTTTCTCTCCCTCCCTTCCCCTCTCTCTAAAATAAATAAGGTCTTTTAAAAAAGAATTATTAACTATAATGGGATTAGCTAGTATACAAGAACTCTAAAGAGGGCAGGAACAGCGGGTTCAAAAACAGCTACTTCTCCTTGGGCTGACAAGAGTGTCCAAGGCTGAGATCCAGACCTTGCTGAAACCCTTTCCCCGAGAACCCGTCAGAAATCTCTCCAGTGTTAGGAAAAGCTGTTTACAGGGCAGCATCTCAACTTTGCTACTAAGCTGCGTGTGGAGAAGCAGGCAGCTACTACACTGCGTGCCCAGTGAAGCTGCGGGTGCAGGGTGCTGCTCTCTGCCAGGCAGGGCGGGCGCTGGGGAGTCTGCGGGCGCTGCGGGAGTCTGACGCGGGAGGAAGCTGCAGGTGCTGCTTTCCATGAGCACGCCGGCACCTGGGAGGCAAAGCCCTTCCTGCAGTGTGTCTCCAGTACCCTCTCAGACAAAACCTCGGTGTCAGCTGAAGGAGAAATTGAAAGGTCCCAGATCCACCTTCACAGAGCAGGCAAAAGGTGAAGCGGGAGCTGAGAGTGCTGGGTTAGTAACAGGCACAGTCCAGCTCCTGGAGGACGCAGCTTCCGTGTGCGCCCTCACACCCCGAACTCCTGTACAGAGACAACAAAACTATTCCTGCCTAACAAAAGCAACTAGCCCTCTTAACAGCAAACAAGTTTTCAAACATTTCTAAAATGAGATGCACAGTCCCAAGAATCATGTATTCATTGATGGCTAAATTGTTTATTCCTCAAATCCAGTCACACTTCCATAGAATATTCTGTTACCTAAACACAGTTGTAAAAGTATCTTCCGACAAATTTCGTATAAAATAAAAATGGGAAGAAAAAATGGTTAGCATATATAGATTATGGAGGTATAACAAGCACATGGAAAGTAAGCAGCATTACTTGTCCTCAGTTCTGTGATTGGTCACAATGTTGTGACTGACACCTGTTCCTCCATGTTTACTCTGCCCCAAGCCTGGCGGCCGCTCCAGGTGCCTCACTTTGTAGAGGGATCTCAATCTTTAGTCCCCAAGGGCCTGACTCCTTAATCGTCCTGCTGCTGCCCCCTTTTGGGGGTTGCTGTAGTTTTTCCATTACCTTTTACTGTTGGACATAGTCCATCTTGCCTGCATGGTGTAGAAGGAACCCAATTTCCCCTTGGTAATCAGGGGCAGTCACTCTGTCCTTTTTCACTCTTGCTCTTCTGCCTCTCTGACTTCACATACCTGCTTGGTGCCACATATATTTCTAACTGATAGCACTCATTCCACTTTTCTGTGATTCCGTGGTCAGTGACTGTTCCCGTTAGACTCTCAGCTCTAAGAGGACACACAGGAACTGTTTGTTTTATGGGAATGCATGGCACTTAGGAGTTAATCACTAATGTTCATCAAGCAAGTGGCGTCCTGCCAAACCTCTGTTCTCTGTATCCTGCACAGAATATTTTGTCTCTTTACACTCTCCCAAGATGTCGACAGTTGATACTATTACCCGAAGGGTTGGGGGCCACTGCTCAGAGCTGACTGTCATGCCCTGTGTACAGTAGCTTAAGGTCCTTTGTGAGTGACATAGGGCTTGCTTTTATCACTGTTGCCTGAGCCAGAGGCCTGGCTCGAATTTCTTAACAGCTGTGACGCCAGCATCTGCTTCCTCTTGGAGACCTTGGGCTCCAGCCAGTCCAAACCGCAGCTGAGAATGAGATTCCGCTTTCTCAGCCGGAATGCACGAAGGAAAAGGTACGTATGTGGAAAACGTATCCTAAATTTAAAAGATGTGACGGGAAAACTTGCCACCTGCAGGACCGTAAATGAATGAGTACACCTGGTATATTTTTACTGGTAGAATAGTGGACAGAACACTCTGAGGGTAAATCAGGCAAAACACCCACATGAGCATTTCACAAAAGATGAAATATAAATGGCCAATAAACGTAAAAATGGTTACTCAGTAACAAAAGAAGTGAATATTGGAACAATCAGTGAAGTCATTTTAGTATTTTAGATTAGCAACGATCTGAAAGACCGCTAATACCTACGTTGGTGGGAGTGCACATGGTCCCCGCTTCCTGCTGGGGCAGGAGTTGGTGTGTTGCACACCGAGGGGCAGTTTGGTGACACCGCCTGCACGAACAGTCAAGACACGAGTAGGTTTTTGTCCCCAAACATCACATCTTGGAACTGATCAGAGACTGATAGTTGATACTTAAGAGTGAAAGTTTGTATAAAGAAAAAAATATGAGCCTATCAACAATGATGATAGATATCTCTATTGATCTGGAAAGGTTATTTTTGAATGAACAAAGGAGTTTACAAAGCAGGGTGTATAGGATGCTCCCATTTAAAAACCTGTCATACCTGTTTTCATGCGCGTGCAGTGGAAAGCTCGGAATGGTATGTAATGTTACAGTGATTGTGTTGTGGATTTTAAACCTCATTAACGAGGGAACATAAATGTCACTGTTTTTATTTCTCTATAATTGAACTAGAGATTTTGGCTCTTAAGCCCCCAAACGTCCTATTTGCACTTGAAAATAACTCCGTCATTTAGTAATACCCAGCCCCCCTTGGGTAGCTACCCACTGAGTCCTCCTTCGGTTTCCTGGGAGGGATTCACAGACTGCCAGATCATGAGCAGCGAGGTTGGTGACGTGCTCTCGGCGGTCTTCAGGGCTCCATCAGAGCATCACGCGTCTTGCCTGGTCTCTGCCTTCCTGTGCCCACATTGGCACCACACGTCAGACTTCTCTGAAGGTCCTCAAAATCTGTGGGCACAGCACTTTGTCCACAGTCATCGGTTCTTGTGGGCCCACCATTTTGTTCAATTCTGACTATCTCTTAGGTTCCCCCGTATCATGTCGGGGCGCCCTTTGAGCCAGTCCTCAGGTCTGTCTAGGCCTTTCTTTAAGGCTGTTCTCTTCATTCTTTTTAATGTGTTGGAGTCGAGTTTTTCCTTAAGGAACTCGTATTCTCACACCACAGCCTGGAAAGTGAAGAACAAGTCCTTACTGCTGTTGGGCTCTAACTTCTGGGGCTTTCTCCCAGCGTTCCTCTTGGATGCAGGATGCAGGATGCTGGGCACATGTCGGACCCCCTGACTCTCAGCTATGGCCACTTTCTGCCAATTCTCCCATTAGCTAATCACTTGACCTCCATTGGAGTGAAGCCTCCTCTTCCATTACCAAGAGCTCTTTCCGATGCCTGCCTGTCCGATAATTTATTAATGCCTGCCCTCCACAGTTTGGCTCTTCATCTTCCCAACCAACCTCCTTAAAAAATTTGAACACTTCTTTATGGGACTTTGGTCTTGCAATTGAAATAATGACTTTAAAGATAATAGTCTGTATAGATTTATAAAACTTTACTTAAAAGTTTAAATTAAGAGGCTGAGAATTTGTGTGTATCATCCTTTCCTCAAGAGCAGGGCCCTGGTTGGTGTGGCTCAGTGGATTGGCTGCCAACCTGTGAACCAAAGGGTCACAGGTTAGATTCCCAGTCAGGACACATGCCTAGGCTGTGGGCCAGGTCCCCAGTAGGGGGTGCTCAAGAGGCAACCACACATTGATGTTTCTCTCCCTCTCTCTCCCTCCTTTCCCCTCTCTTGAAAAATAAATAAAATCTTTTTAAGAAAAGAATGAAGGTTGTCTAGAAAGCTCCCATGAGCGGTGGTTGCTGCTTGAGTGGTAGGCGGGCATGGAAAATGGATTGAAAAGCATACATCCCGCTCCTGGGATGGGTGGGGTTGTGGCTGAGCCCCAGTCTTGTTTGGTCTGCAATTTTTGAGTTTTCTACAACAAACGTTAAAATATATGATAAGTTGTTTTGTAAATTAAAGGATACTTCCAGGCATGTAGGCCTTTAATGCTAAAGGTTTACATTCCTTTTTCTGCGTTTTGAGCTTTTGGCACCCTAACCACCTCACCTCAACACAGTGAGTGGGCTCTGGGGGCGGGGGGCTGGGGGCGGTCGGGCCAGAAGCAGTGGTAAGGGGGGGAGGGGACACAGGCATCCACTTGTTCATCCAGGAGTGGAGTGAGGTAGGCCCCCAGTTCACGACGCTCATAGTGAGGCTGTGGCCTCTGCAGCATCTTAAGGGACAGTGTCTTTTTCTTTTTAGTGCAAGGATATAGGACTTTATTAGCATTGTTGTAGGCGCTGCACGACATAGGGCCTGATCCTTAGCACACATAACACCATCTGTGCTTTGAGGAAATAAATCGGCATAAATCCAAACAACCTGGAATTTCAGATAAAAGGTGGACTCTCACCTTATAAAAAGATAAAAAGAAAACCCCTTTTTACATTTTAAGCAACAACATTTAAAATATGAAAGTTTGCCCAATCACCTTCCTACCAGTCCTCGATCATGCCAGAGGTTTCCTGATTAAAAAAAAAGTTTAAAGATTTCATGTCTGTGTTTTATGGCACTTTATGTTCTCATTTTTTATTCTTCTAAATTTTGAAATTTTGCAGAAGTGCTAGTACAGTATTCATAAAAGCTAGTGTCTTGCATAGGCGGAGGTGGGGTGAGGCAGGGCCCGGCCCCTGTCCCTCTCTCCCTCTCCTCTCGGAGCTGGCGGAGGATGCTGGGGGGCCCACGGGGACTGGCTGGCCCCCGTGGGAGGGGAGGCGGGGCTGGGCTGGAGCTCCTCACCGAGGGCCTGCAGAAGATGCTCCGTGGCCATGCCTCACCCCCAGAGAGGATGCAGGTGGCTCCGGTTTGGGGCTGCAGTTACAGATGGGATGGACAGGATGGACAAGACTGACACAGGACTGAGGGCACAAGTTGCAGGCTCGAGGTCCACCAGCTTAAGGTCCAGATTTTTTAAAAGGTGTTATTTATTTATTTTTAGAGGGGAAGGGAGGGAGAAAGGAAGAGAAACATTAATTGATGCTGCTCTCATGCCTGCAACCAGGGACCTGGCCTGCAACCCAGGCAAGTGCCCACACTGGGAATCGAACCAGTGATTAGCAGTCTTTCGGATTGCGGGATGATGCCCAACCCACTGAGCCACACCAGTCAGGGCCTTACAGCCCTTTTTAGAAAAGGATGTGAGTGTGGGAGCGGAGGCTTCTTCTCAGTGGGGGCAGGGAGCCTGAGGAGGAGCCTTGTCCCGTGGGAGAGCTCTGGAGTCCTGCAGAGGGCCTCGCCCGACCTTGCTTGGCTTCCCCTTCAGCATCGTATCTGCTGCGGACCTGTGGCCAGTCGATGGCAGAGTTGGGACCAGAGCCCAGGCCCACTGTCCCGACCCGCTGCCCTTCCTGTTTCAGCAGGGGTGGTTGGCCTGGTTCTTCCTGCTTTGGGGAGACCTGGGATCTGGGAAAAGCCAGCTGCCCGTCTCCTGGGCAGCTCTCTGACCCCTAGGTCCTGCTAGCTGTCATAAACTGGTCTCTGTGGGACAGGTCTGAGTTGGGGCAGACATTTCCTCCCCATTTTCTCCCCACTGCCTCCCACGGGGGCTTGTGATTGTAGGTTCCAAGAGCAGGGCTGGGCTTCCACCTCATGATGGAAGGGGTAGGCCCTGGGGTGTGAACTCTTGGGGGGCGGGGGCTCCCCTTGTTACAGTTCTAGCCCTTGCCCCTGGAATGTGGCCTGGCTCTAGGATACTCACTATATTTTGAAAAAGTAAGTTTAGAAATGAACTCACTTTTGTGAGTTCATCGTGTTAGGGGCTGGCTCTAAGCTGAATTGTAAAGTGGACCAAGTTTGCTCTCAGGGGGCTTCAAGTTCATTGTTGAGTCTGTCTCTCTCAGGGTCACTTCCCTGCCCCAAGGCCCCTGGTCACAGAGGCTGCACGTGACCCGCCCCTCCGTCCTAAGGTGATGGTTCTGAGACGAGACAGAGGGAGGAGAGTGTCTCGGAGGGAGGGTCAGTTGAGGGTGGAGTTCCTGTCCACATTAGTTTCCCCTGAGTCTCAGGACAGGTTGGCCTTGGCCTGAATGCCTCAGATACAGAAGATCAGGGAGTGCAGAGGGTGAGCTGTGGCCTGTGAGGAGGAGGAAGCAGCCAGCAGCAGCAGCTGCCTCTTCCTGCTTGGGGAGCAGAGGGCCACCCTCCCCCTCCACCCAGCGGGGTGTCGGACTCACCTGGCAGGGCTCTGAGTTTCCCTCAGAAGTCGGGCTCCTGGACGCACTGGAGAGGACTGAGAGTGGCTGCGCATGCTCCCAGGGCCTGCCACAGCGACAGCGTTAGGGCCTCAGGCCCCCCACACACACTCCCTATTCCCAGCTCTGAGGGGCATGGGAGGCTCCTTCTGAAGGGGCCGCTCTCACCTCAGCTGGCAGGTGCTCTTGGTGTGATCTAGGCCTCTCGGGCCACTCCCAGGCCATGGGGACTTCGGGGTTTAGAGCCAGAGAAAGTGGGGTGCTCATCCCAAGACACCCACTTTGCGCGCCCACCAAACATGCGTGACTCCGGGAACAACCCGCCCCATAGTGCACGTCAGAGCGTGCCTCTTTTGGCTGCCTATCCCTCTCAGACTCCTCCCTTCTCATTCTTTTGTGGCTTTTTCTTGAGCCCTCTGAGCCTGCCTTTTCTATTTTAAAGTAGTGAGGGGAGGTGGCTGTCCTGGGCCCAGGGAGTAGGGTCTCTGTGGATCACAGACCTGAGAAGGTGGGGGGCTGTGGGAGCTGAGGAAAGTCGTGGGACCACCTGGGAGAGGAGGGCACACCTGGCAGGTGGTGCGGGCATCCTGGCCCCTGGCCGTCAGGCTCTGCAGCTGCACGGAGTGTCGCTCCACAAACTGCTCACACTGAGGAAGGAGAAAGTCACCGTTGGGCACACCCAGACCCACTGCAGGACGACCCGCCTTGCCGCCCTGGCCTCTCCGTGGACCTGGGTGGCTCCAGGGCTCCCTCTGACCTGGCGTAGGTCCAGACACCAGCCCCCCAAAGCAGTTGGCATGGGCCGAAATGTAGGTTTCCGTTGGGAGACCTGGGCACCACCATCCCTTGCCCCTGAATTTCAGTTCTAGAAGAAAACTTAAAGCTCATTTTGTCCTTGAGCCATGATGCAGGCAGTGGGGGAGGGGGCACTGTCAGGAGAGCACCGTGCAGGGAGCTGCCTCCTGGGATCTGTCTTACTTTGTGGAGCTGTCATCCACTCTTAGTACTGGGACTCTAGGGCCTCTCCTTTTGCAAATGGGTTTGTCCCCACCGATTAACAACACTGGGAGGAGAAATGGGGCTGTGACAGGATGGGACCTCGGAGGGAAGCCTAGGCCCTCTCCTGCTCCAGCTGGCCCTGGCGTGACTCATCTCCTGATGGATAACGGCCCCGCACCTCGTCCAGAAGGGAGGACTGCTGGTCCTTCGTGCCCATGCCCTTCGACCAGAGGCCACTCCTGACCATAGCAGGCTTTGCCCCATTACAGTCCCCTCATTGTTTGGCCCACGTCCTGTCTGAGCTCCTGAATGGCAGGGGTCTGGCCTGCTCTGTGCATCTCTGGCTGGGAAGCCTTTCCTGGCTCAACCCTGTACTGTGGGCAGGCGCTGGGTCCCAAGTTCCCATTGCCTGCTCTGTACCTTTTGCCTGTCCTGCTGGAAGCTGAGGCAAGCTTGGCGCATCGCCTGTGGCATGGCCTGCTCGCTGCTGTTCCCTGCCTGGGTGGTCACGGACACGCAGAGCTGGCACTTGGAGTCTTCCGGTATCCATTCTTCCCACAGGGACTGCAGAGCTGTGAGGCCTAGACAGGAAACAGTCAAGGTCGGCCTGCAGAGGTGTTTAGTTCCTGTCCTCTCTGGTGCAGGGGAACCAGGCGGGCGGGGGTCATGCAGGGCTGGGGGAGGAAGGCTGAGAGTGGGCAATGGCAGGGCTGGGGCAGCAGGCTCACCTGGGCCAGGGCCACTCTCCAAGGAGCACCGGAGGACGAGGCCGCAGACCAGCTGGGGCAGCATGCGGCCCAGCAGTACGTCCAATAGGATGACAGTGTAGCGCTCAGCAAGGCACTGGCAGATGCCGCCCGCCACCAGGGGCACCACGTGGCACACCTGAGCCACAACCGGGGCCAGTACACCCTGGGGTAGGGCCAAGAGAGGGTAGGGTGGAACCTTCCCTTGCAAGACCTACTCTGCGCCAGCGCCAGCTGGGCACTTCGTAGATATTCCCTTGTTCTCCTCTGTGAATTACTATGCTGTTTACCCATAAGGACACTGAGCATTGCTGAGTCCAGGGGACTTGCCCTGAGTCAATTAGTGAACCCAGGAGCCAGGCTGTGGACCCAGCTCTGACTAAAGACTGAAATTGCTGAAAGGGTCACAGCTAGCCCAGAGATGTGGACATCACCACAGTCACATGCATCCTGGGGAGTCAGGTGGACCACATCTGTGTCTTCTCCCTCCTGACCCACAAGATGGATTAGTTGGTGGCTCCCGGAGCCAGCACGTGCCATGTTCCGGGAGCTCCAGGGAAAGCCAGGAGTTCCCCCACCCATCTCAGTTCCAAACACGAGATCTGAGCTGGTGGGCGGGGTGAGAGGCCACAAAATGCAGGCTCGTGGCTTCACTCCTTCGTTCACTCAAGTGATACATGTGAAGGACCTGCATGTGACAAGCTGGCCTTGGCCCTGCTCCTGCTCACAGCTCCTGCTAGGAGTAGGCACAGGGCTGTGTACGGGTGTGATACCTTTCACAATATACCCACCTGCTTGCATGGGAGCCCACACTTGGCTTCCAGATGATCCTATGCTGTCAAAGGCCGGCCCATCCACTTGTGCCCTGGGCTGCCCTGCCCGCTCCTTCACAAGGGCTTCACCCGGGATTATCCTCGCCCTCCTTCCTCATTACTTCTCCCATCTGCCCCTTGGTCGGTCTCACTGCTGTGTGAACATGCCAACACAGCTTCTGGCCTTAGAAAGACTCACCCATCTCTGCTCCTCTTTCCAAAACAAGTTCTTGAAAGAATTGTCCATACTGGCTGCTCCTTTTCTTTCCCTCCAGCTTCCCTGGAGCCCACTCAGCTTGGGCTTTTGTCCCCATCGCTCCTCCAAAACAGCTCTCAAAGTCACAACCTCCGTTGCCGATCCTCTGGTCATGTCTTGTCTTGATCTCCCAGCAGCTTTTAGCCCAGGTAATCACTTCCTCCTTCTCCAAATACCTTGTTCTTTTGGCTTCCATGACATCATGCCATGGTGTCCCCACACTTCACTGACTGTCCCTCCTGGCGCTATTTTGCTGGCATTTGCCTTTGCTTGACTGAGCCTCCTCCTGCACTAGGTCCACACCATGTCCCCGATGACCCCACTCATTCCCTTGGACTTAAACCTCGTCCTTAACAGGCGGTTCTCAGAGTGGTGTCTCTGAGCTGACGTTTTGCCTAAGGCTTGGGTATTCGGCTGCTTGCTTGACATACCCTTTTGTGTGTTACATGGGCATCTCAAACTTAACAATGGTAAGAAGAACTCCTTATTTATTTATTTTCTTGTCCACATCTGTTCCTTCTGAAGTTTGTCCATCTCAGCACGTGGCATTATCAAAGACCTGGTTCCTCAAGCCCAAGTCACTGTCCATTCCTCATTTGTCCTCACTCCCCAAGTTCCATCCATTAGCAAGTCCTGTTGGCTGACCTCCCAAACGTACCCTCAGCCTACCCTCCCAGTGCCATCTTCTCCCATTTCGATCTCTGCAGTAATCTAGATATTCTTTTTGCTTTCATTCTTGCCTCTCACCTGCCCAGTGCATTCGTCAAACAGCAGGAGAGTGGTCTTTCTGAAGTGTAAATCAGATCCCAGCATTCCCTGCTTGCAACCCTTCACTAGCTGGAAATTGCATTCAGATTAAAATCCAGTGTTTCCTAACTCGGCTGAGACATTCCTGCATGGCCTGCTGTACCTAACCCTCTGCTCCCTTCTCCGGTCACTCTCCTCCCGGCCTGCCCGCTGGGGCCACACTGGCTTTCCTCAAGCTTGCCAAGCTCATTCTTGATTGACGACCTTTGTCCACAGGGGCCTTGTCGACCTCTGGGTCTCAGTGTAATAGTCACCTCCTCAGAGACTCTCCCTGACTAACCTCCGAACCCCGACTCTCCAGTCACTGTCCATCACCTCACTTCTTAAATACTTTTGGTGGGACTGGGCAATCTGAGCTGCCCTGCTTACCCTTGGCCCTGGTGACCCTCTCTCTGACCACACACACCCACCCAGCCATCCACCCACAGCCAGAGCAATGCAGGAGACCTGGATTTTTCAAGACTCTCCTAGGTCCTAGAGTCCTGCAGCTGTGAGAGGTTACCAGGCCCTGATTATGGGTCTCTAAGGGGGTGGCCTAACAGAATAAATAGCAATAAGGAAAGCCAAGTTTGGCCCTGTCTGGGTGGCTCACTTGCTTGGAGCATCACCCATGCACCAAAAGGTTGCAAGTTCAATCCCCAGTTGGGGCACAAATAGGAGACAAACAATCAATGTTTCTCTCTCTCCCCACCCCCTCCCTCTCTCTCTAAAATCAATGAAAACATGTCCTTGTGTGAGGGGGGGAAACAAAAGCCCAGGTCAGAGGTGACCAAGTTGTTGTTTTTCACAGGCTTTTTTCCTAGGATGGACCAGTTGTCACAGCTCCTAGCTACGGGGGACCGAGGGAGGGTGGCATTGGGTCCGGCCCCTTCCGGAAAGACCTACCGCAGCTGCCAGCATAGGCTGGGCTATTGGCCCCAGCAGGGGCCGTCTCAGCCCAGAGCCTGGATCCCAGAGCCTCCTGCTCGGAGTCTGACCTTTGCCACCTCCTCTCTCACCAGCCTTCATCCTAAACGTGCAAACCGGCCCCACCCCTGCCTGTCCACGGTTGCCCACCGTGTACGGAACCTTGCAGTAGAAATGTGTTGGGATTAGGGTGGGACTTCGTGGAGAGCTGTGGCCAGGGATATAGCTTGGGGTCTGCTCAGGGGGTTGCCCGAAGAGTAGAGAACTGCTCTCCTTATCTGTTTTAATTCTCTACTCTGAACCTATCGCTTTCTGAAAAAATCTCCACCACAGTGCAAACTTGGGAGAGCAGGTATCTCGCCCGCTGCAGTGAGCCCTCAGTGACCAGCCCGCCTGCTGGTCAGGGAAGGGCCGATGGGGCAGAGCCCGCCTCACTCGGGCCCCGTTTCGGGGCAGGACCGCACTGGGCGATGGTCACTACGGGTCTGGCAGATTCCAAGTTGGGCTCGGGCAGGGAGGGGAGTCCATCTGTGGAAGTTCTTCTGAAAAGTTAAAGTGTATGTTCTACAGAGACCCCCGGAGACTCTCCTCCATCAGTTGCCGAGCTGCTGGAGGGCAAGACGGGGTCTCACCCTTTTTCGTGCTGTGATACCTGCATGGTCCTTGCCTGGCTTGTAACAGGGGACTAACATTAGTTGGATGAACTCTAGGCCTGGCACCTGCTGGGCCCGAGCCTGAGTGCCGAGGTCCCTGGGGTGGGGGCAACGCACGGATGGCTCTTCTCCTAACTTCTGGCAGCCAGCTGACCCCTGTGGGAGGTGTGAAGAGGGATGGGGGGAGGGGAGTTGTGGGGGACCTCACCTTGGGAATCACAGCTTGGACCCGATTGAGCAAAGTCCTGCAGAGCCAGCAGTAGGGGAGGGGGATGGGGAACCACTGCACAGAGAGATCCTAGAGGAGAGAATGGCGGGTGAAAGCAGGGTGGGCACCAGGAGAAGGCACCCTCCAGGCTCCTCTTCGGCCCCTCCTGCCTCAGGCCCTGCCTAGAGCTGCTCAGCTCCCTTCCAGTCCTGCCCCCACCCAGGGCCTGAGTGCTCTGGGGCGGTGGCTGTGTCCCAGCTCTGTGGATTTCCGCCAGGATGGGGCCTCCCTCACCTGTGTCTGAGGCCCGGGCTGCTCCCGGAGGGCCCTGGGCAGCACCGGAAGGACCAGCCTGTTCAGCAGAGGGTCCCACAGCTCCAGCTCCAGCCCCGACTCTGGACGCCCGGATTTACAGAAGCCCAGGTGCTCGCAGATGGCCCTTGGGTTCTGGGGAACAATGCAGGGTGGGGGGTGATTAGGGTGGCGGAGGGACCCCCATTCCTGCTCAGGCTGGCTCAAGGACTCAGGGACTAGGTCCGCTGTCTTTGGCCGGGGATGGCGGTGGCAGGCTGGGTGGGGCTGGGGTTAGAACTCTGTGGTGGGAGTGGAGAGACAATGAGGCAGAGGTGGGCCCTGTGGGACCTCGGGACAGGCGCCTGGGACTGAGCAGGAACATGTATGTTTGTTAGAACAAGTGAGTGTGTAGTGGGTGGGTTCTACGTGAGACTGAGTGTGTGCATGAGTGTGTGACTGGGCATATGTTTGTGTGAAGGGCGTAAAGGTGTGTGTGGTGTTTGTGAGCGTGCGGGCGGCCCAGGTACAGTGGAGCGACGGGACTGTGAACTGGGCACCTGTCTGGGAGGCATGGCATCTCCTGGACTGGTTGTGAGCAGGAGTGTGTGTGTGTGTGTGTGTGTGAGTGTGGTGGGCTGGCGTGTGGAATGGGGGGATCTCTGGGTCTGTGTGGGCAGGCAGGTCAGCAGGTCCTCACGATCTGGCTTTGCAAGTAGTCGATGACCAGTGGGAAGTAGACATCAACCATGTGGCGGCACCGGGGCACCAACAGCTTCGAGGGGAGGACGTCACACTCATTATCCAGAAACTTCCGAATCGTGTCCTGGGAAGCAGGTGGGAGCCAGCGAGGGTGGAGAGAGGACAGTCAGCCTGGCCTCCCAGAGGTCAGCCTCTGCCCAAGTCCCTGCACACGGGGTCACCACCTGGCAGACTGGTCACCCCTTTCCCAGGGCACTAGAGTTCAGAGAGTGCCAAGGAGTTAAGTAGCCGGGCACAGGTAGGGCCCCTTTACCCTCAGGGACAACCATCTCTGGCTGGGCTGCCGGGCTCTGGGCACCCCAGAGCTCTCTCCTGGACAGCAGATGCCTGGAGTCCCAAGGCAACCTCAGGGCTCACCACTGGCCAGGAAATGGCCCCTTTAAGGGGCTAACCTTTTCTTCCTGCTCTGTCCCCCATCTCTTGGCCCCCAGGCTTCATCCAGGGTCTGGGCCCCATTACCTGGAAAATGGTCTCCTTGGTCATCTTGGTGAGAATGTTGATGATGTCGTTGCATTCCTGGCACAGGTCGTCCTGGGGAGGGGCACCCCAAAATGGGGCATGTGAGGGGAGGCTCTTCCAGGCAGAGGACAACAGGGCATAGGGGTAGAACCAGCACGTTCTCTCCCACCCTGTCCCATCCCCTAAGGGGCCCCCAGTCCCCCACAACCATCCAGAGCCCACACAGCGTGCTCTCTCCCAGACCGTCGTCCCAGAGTGTGATACTCACCGCTCCCGCATGTCCCCAGACCTCCTGTAGGCAGTGCCCCAGTGCTCTGCACTGCAACGCTTGCTCCAGGCTTTGGCACCAAAACTCGGGGCCCTGGGCACAGGCCTGGGATGAGGTGGTCCCTACAGCTTCTGTTTGGGGCCAGAGCAACCTTGGGGTCCAAGCCATACCCGGTACCCTGACCTCACCCACCCTCCATACCCACTGTCTTTTTCAAAAAAATTTTTTCAAGAGATTTTATTTATTCATTTTTTAGAGAGGGGAAGAGGAGGAGAAAGAGGGAGAGAGAAAAACATCAATGTGTGGTTGCCGATTGTGTGCACCCCCATCGCGGACCTGGCCAGCAACACAGGCACGTGCCCTAGACTGGGAATTGAACTGGCAACCCTTTGGTTCACAGGCTCACTCAATCTACCGAGCCACGCCAGCCAGGGCTCCAAGCCCACTTGCATTGGTAATGCTTAAACGTGCTGGAGTCAGACAGCTGCTCCAGTGCCCACCAGCTGTGCGCCATAGGACAAGCCCTGGGGCCTCTCTGAGCCTCAGCTTCCTCATCTTTGAGATGAGGATGACATGCAGACCAGGGAAAGGCCTGGCACAGAGCCAGAGCTCAGTAAGTGGGGGGAACGGTCTTGATGCCCCTAAACACCTGGCCCCAGGTGGGAGAGAGGTAAGGAGAGGCTGGGGAAACTCACCAGCCCCTGGGCCACCGAGTGTGGGCAGTAGCAGCAGCCACAGCAGCAGGTGGGACTTGGCCATGGCTCCTCCACAGCCTGGACAGTCTGCTTGAGGTGAGGCCCCTTATAGCTTCGGGCAAGGATGTGAGGACAGGGCTGTGTGGGGGCACTGGTGACTCAGTGTTTGCCTTTGTCCCAGAGAGCCCTTCAGGTGTTTTGATTGCCCCTTTCCCAGCAGAGACACTCCTACTTGCCCCCCTCCCCGCCCCCTGCCTCTGCAAGGGGAGCCTGTTCCTGCTCCCCTTGTTCCCTGCCCCAGCTCCCTCGGGCCTGGACACCTGGCTCCCTCCACCCAGGAGGCTCTTGAGCCTCCGCATGGGGTCCCATCTCCTTGAGCTGTGGGGAAGAAACGGAGGTGAGGCCAGGGCAGCCAGAGCGAGCCCCTCCCATCTCTACCCCCAGCCTCTTGGGCTTCCTTTGTTCTTGAGCAGCGCTCTTAAGAGCTTCCTGCCTGGCTGTTGACTCAGGGCAAGCGCCAAACCGGGGACCCTCTTAGGTCACACACCCCCACTCCATCCTGACCTTTCCCCCAGAAAACTGTTTCTATGGACACATGGTAGGCCTTAGTCGGGAGAGTGTTGACGTGAAACAAAGAGGAAGCTAAAAAAAAAAAGCCAGAGAAACTGAATGCGAGGAGGTAGGGGCTGAGATTCCCTGAGTGGCTGCTGGGCAGCCCTGTCCGGGGGATGCTGCCGTGTCCTCTGGGTGGGGGGATGGGGTGCAGCTGGTGGCTCAGGAGAAAGAAACCGTCTTCTGCAGCTGCAGAGGCTCTCAGGTCAGGCCCACGGGGCGGGGCACACCTGAGGGAGAGCGCACCGTCTGACAGGGGGCAGGCGCTGTTGCCAGCGGAGCTTTAGCTCGTTGCCACCACTGGGTGACCAGTTTACCTGATGGCTAGGGAGGCCTCGAGACTCCTGGAAGTGCTCTAACCCTCAAGGTGCAGCCAGGGCAGGGATTGTTGCCACAATGAAAACGGTTGGACACAGGGTGGTCAAGTGACATCTTCAAGGTCACACAGGGGTTCATTTGTGTCGGCCTTAAGGTTCTGTTGGCCTCAAGCCCTTGTCAGTACGGTAAACACAGCTGCGATCATGAGAATTGACCAAGGATGTATGTAAATGTGTGAGCAAAGATTGGGAACCCTGGCAGTCACATACAGGCTCGAGGGGATGGGACTGAAATGTGCTTGTAGTTTCATGTGAATCAACTGGTACCTGGGGTAGATACAGTCAGGTCTGGCGGAGCAGGAGAGCGGGGATTGGTGGGTGGCAACCTGGGGTGCTGTATGGATCAGGGTAGTGTAACTGCTATAATAAAGAGCTCTGGAGTCCCCTGGCTTTCCACAGTACATACTTATTTCTTACCCACATTGAAATGCAGAGCAGTGGCTGAGGGTTTGGTCCACACAGTCATTCAGGGCCCCAGGAGCATCCCTCTTCAGGCCCTGCCTTCTACCAGGGCCTAGAGTCCTCCCTGGAGCATCTGGCTGGCAGGTCACAGAGAGAAAGAAGGGTAGATCGTGAGGGAGTTTGGGGCGCCAGGCCTGGGAGTGGTGTCCTCCATCATCAGTTCACTGACCAGAACTCAGTCACATGTTTCCACCAAACCATGGGAAGGGCTGGCAGATGTGATGTTCCCTTGTCCCTGGGGGTGGGGGAAAAAGTTCTGAAGATGCATAGTGTTGGTGCCTGTACTACATTGTGAGTGTACCTTATGCCACTGAATTGTACACTTAGAAATGATTAAAATGGTAAATTTTGTGTTATCCATATTTTATCAACAATTTTTTTTTAAATCGAGGGAGAGTGTGTGGGTCAGAGAGAGAGAGAGGAGGCAAGCTGGGGGTAGAGGAGAGTTTTGTTTTTCTTTCTTTTGAAAAAGATTTTATTTAATTTTTTAGAGGGGAAGGGAGGGAGAAAGAGAGGGAGAGAAACACAACAGGTGAGAGATACATTAATGAGTTGCCTCTCATACACCCCCACTGGGGACCTGGCCTGCAACCCATGCATGTGCCCCGACTGCGAATCCAACCAGCAACCTTTTGGTTCACAGACTGGCACTCAATCCCCTGCGCCACGCCAGCTGGGCTGTTTTTCTTTTTGATGGTGAGAAATGTGAGGCTCTGAAGTATGGGACTTGAGAGAACTGGGGGCTGAGACAGAAGGGGATTAGTGAAGTGTTGTTGCAGGTTATACATCGAAACCTTTTTATGTCCTTTGAGAGGTGCAAGTGAAGAGCAGAATTCCTTTTCATTCTGTTTGTGGTTTGGGGCTGCGTTTCTGTGGTGTTCTCTGGGGATGAGTCAGCAGGGTCTGACTTCCCTCCCCTCTCCAACAGCAGGGAGGTCTGGGCTTCCAGAACAAGCTCCGGGAGTCTGCAGCCAGTGACAGTTGGCTTCAGAGGCAGGGATGTTCTCTCAACATCTGCCAGGTGTCCCTTCTCTCAGGGCTCTGTCTGAAGCTAATTTGTTTGTCCACCCCATCGGGTGTGCCCTCTTCTGTGTCTCTAAATGGACACGTTCCACAGGAAGGAGATGTGTCTGTCTTATTTATTGTTGAGCCTCAGGACCCAGCACGGTGCTGGGAGCATGGTGGCTACCTCGCCGAATGACTACCCTTTGCTTTTTCTTTTGTGTTCATAGAATCCAAATTTTGTTCAGGTTCTGGGTGTTTTGGAGAGCTGATTTTTTTTGCCCCAGCCCCAGGGATGCACCAAGAACAGGCCACGCCCTTTGCCAGTAATCATTTTGGGGAGAGCACTTGTTCAAGTTCCAGCTAACCAGCAGGAACCAGCAGGGGTGGGTGCACTTCTGGGAAATGCTTCCTTCCTGTTTGAAAGAGACAGATGGAGAGAAATGCCTCTGGGTCCCTTTGGACGTTCCTGTGCAAAGCCGGAATGTTGGGGCAGTAGCAGCCATTCGAGCTGAAGAAGGAAGAAATGAGAGAAGCACAGAGAGGCAACTCAGAGCCCTGACCCGGCTGAGCTACCGATTTAATGACTCCTGAACTCTTTTTGTCCTGTTTGTATATTTTCTCATCAGATATTCTGTTATGGGAAGCTCAAGTCATGTTAACCAAAGGCAGAAGTAAGGAAAGATAGAAGGACTAAGGAAAGAAAGAAGGAAATAAAAAAGGAAGGAATAGAGGGAAGAAGAGAAGAAGGAAGGAGGGGAAGAAGGAAGGAAGGAAGGAAGGAAGGAAGGAAGGAAGGAAGGAAGGAAGGAAGGAAAAGGGGGAGAGGGAGGAAGAGGGAAGTAAGTCCATTCTTTCCATCCTTTACATGCAGATTAAACTCCATGTCCTCCAAGGAGGTCTCCCAGGTTCTCCCCACCTGGAGCCATCTCTCCCACCTCCTGCTGCCATCTGTTCTTTGTGACCTGCCAAGCTCATGTGTCCATTTGACTAGAAGGCCACAACTAGAGCCTCAGCCATGACCCCGCCTGGGTTCCACACACCTTTGGTGCTGCCCAGTGCCTGGGATGGTGACCTGTGGTGCAGCAGCACAGGGCTCTGGGGAGCTCTTGGGAGAACCCTCTCCCTAAGGGATGAGGGAGTCTGCCAGGCTGTCTTTCAACAAAGCCTCAGTTACCAGAAGGGAGGTGGGGTGGGGCGGTGGGAATCTGAGCTCACTGTAAAAAAAAATCCTCACCTGAAGACTTGCTTATTGATTAGAAAGAGAGGAGGAGAGGAGAGGGAGGGGAGGAGGGAAGGTGGGGGGAAAGAGAGAGAGAGAGAGAGAAACAACAATGTGAGAGAGAAACATCCACCCGTTGCCTTCCATAAGCCCCAACTGGGGATTGGACCCACAACATTTTGGTGTATGGGACAATGCTCCAATCAACTGAGCCACAGGGCAGGAATCTGAGCTTTTTATGATATTGATCACCCACCAGCCCAACCTTTTCCTCTCAACCAAGACCTGGGATCTAGGAAAGGAGAGAGTAGAGAGAGCTGTTCCAAAACACCTTTGTGAGTGGCTGGGTATGAGGATGTCATGGATAGCATAACCCAAGAAAAGTACTGATAGGAAAAGCACTTCTTGCTGAGAACAGGGTGTGCCCAGAGGTGGCCAGAGATACTTGGGAGTGAAGGAGACTTTTAAGGGGTGAAATTCTCACAATAGCTGGAAGGGACCCAGGAAGTTCAAGTTATTACTCTCGCATTGCCTCTGTTTTTAAGCCTGTGTTGTGACAACCTAAAGAGATAATGCTTCTATTCATTTATTTACCTTTTAGTCATGCATTCAATTAATAATATGTGATTAACAGTTTGTCATGTACTATTCTAGGTGCTGGAGTTACAAGAGTGAGCAAACCTGATAAGATTCTTGCCTGAGGGGAGCTTCCCTCCTTGAGGGTGCTGTTTAGGGAATCAAGTGTCTCTGTCATTGAACTTTGGACCTCGGGGGCAGGGCTCACCTAATTTGTGTCTGTGGCTCTCACAGAACCCTTGAAAGCACTGAGTCCTAGCCACTAGACCACCAGGAAGTCCTCTCACAGGACCCTTGAGAGGGCTTTGTCCACAGTGGGTGCGCAAACAAACTTCCTGAATCAGGTGCTCTTGATAGATGAATCCTGCTCATGAAATTCATAGCTTAACATGTGAACATCTTCCAAAATGGCACTTTTATATTTTATCCAGCAACTAGAACTCTGAGAGCAAAGGATGAGCTAAAATCAACTCATAAGCTTTCCTAAGCTAGTAAAAAAAAAATTGACTCTGGGAAACATTTTTGTTATTTTTGTGTTAATTAACTTATTTATTATTGCAAAAATACTGGTATCAGGTATTTTAATGTTACAAGTAAAAGACAACTTGATGTGAACTGACTTATACATGAAGGGAGCTTTTGATCTATGTAGTTGAAAAGTCCAGAAACAGATCAAGTAGTTGTTTATAGAGCTTGGTCCATAGGCTCAAATCATGACACCAGGACTGGCTTCTCTCGGTGCCCGTTCTCTGCCTCCGGGTGTGTCCTCCTGAAGCTCCTGGTCCTCCCCCTCAGAGTGAAACAGGCACAGCTATTCCAGGTACCACACTGTCCAGGCAGAGAGTGGGGATACTCTGCTAGCTCTGGTGATAGAGAAAGCCTTTCTTCCATGAGGCCACTGCAATCATCTCACATCTCATTGGCTTAGAATGGGGC